CATTTTAGAAAGAGGAGTATACCTCTGATGTTTGTGAACATCTTTGTTCAGATTGTAAATCACTGAGTTACAGTAAGAAAATACCCAGACTCCATGTAATTGATTCTCTTTCAGCCAGAAACCAACCCATGATCTGCTGTCACTGGCCAGAGGGGTGACTTTATGTTTTGTGATTTCTAACATTTATTGCCTTTAATAAAGGATCTTATGTTATATAGTTCAAGCTAACACCCTCCAAGGAGGATTTCCCACAACGTCAGAAGAAAGTTTGGGCTTCACATTGTCATGCTGTCATTTATTTCCAACACACACCCTTTCATACAGTACATCTCAAACTGCAGTAAAGGAAATCTAAGATACTAAGAGACAGTTTTGCAGGATTGGAAGGATGACGCATTCACAGAGCAAACAAAAGAGTTAATTTCCTTTTGGAACCCGGGGGCGGGGGGGGACGAGGGGGAAATCATAAGACTGTATGAGAATGATCTTCTCCAGCTCCACCCTGTGGCAGTTTGCTGAGGAGACTATGTAAGTGACCGCAGCTCTGGTAAGAAATATGGTTTCTGTGTAAAGTGTGAACTCTGGTCTGTCTGTGTGTGTATTTTATTCTACCTAATGCACCTCTAGATGAGTTGCATTGGTTTACACACAAATTTTGATTAGTGTAACTATTTTGGAGGGGTGTGTGATTTTTTTTAACCAATATATTTATACCAGTAAAACCCTGCATGTGGAGGCAATTGTATCGATAATAAATGTGCCTCCCTGCATGGGAATAAACTATACTGATATTAAACACTTTTATAGTACACCTCTACCTCGATATAACGCGGCCCGATAGAACACGAATTCATATATAACGCAGTAAAGCAGTGCTCCGGGGGGGCGGGGCTGCGCACTCCAGTGGATCAAAGCAAGTTCGATATAACGCGGTTTCACCTATAACACGGTAAGATTTTTTGGCTCCTGAGGACAGTGTTATATCGAGGTAGAGGTGTAGTACACTAAGGCTCATATTGCTGCAGCTATTTAGATGGTAAGTTTTTGGGGGCAGAGATTGTCTTTTTGTTCTGTGTTTGCACAATGCCGAGGACAAAGGGGTCCTTGTCCATAACGGGGGCTCCTAGGCGTTATCACACAAAGAGTTAATAATATACCAGTATTACATTATATTAAAACTATATATAGAACTCGTGTCTTTAGACAAGGTCTAAGACAGTGAAAAAGATCCTTGTTCCTTTTACGCTTAGAGCATTACAGTACAGTGAAAAGATCTTATTTGTCTTTCTCTTAAAGGATCTGGATATCACAGGATTGTCCATAATATCAGAGAAAAAAATATTCATAATTGAGAAAACAATGACTAAGACCGTGTTTTAAATCGAGTGTACATGCAGCTAAATTATGGATACGAAGTGTGAAACTGTGGAGAAAGATGATAATGGAATTATACACCAATGCTCAGTTTTATACATGTGTAATGTTAAATTAATTCATTCCAGTCCTTTCAGGCGAAGGTATAACAACTGCTCCATCTCAACATAATCATATTACCTCAATAGGCTCTATATGTGACACTTCCCTGGTGGTAATCACCATTTGATTAATTACGAGGTATTTAGTGGCATTACAGCTCTTCCTCAAGTAGAAGTATAATCTGACACAATCCTTTCATTATTCCCAGTTAACCTAGTGTCTGGAAGTAGACTTTAAACTAGTGTCATGAGTGTGTGGTTGCAAGAACATCATTTTATACTGAGCTGTAGGGTCACAGAGGCATTGACAACTACAAAGGGGATAGAGCCCAAGATCTTTTGCTCCTTTGGGGCCTGGCAAGCATACAGCTCAAGCTGCCCTGGATTGGGGGAAGTAGAAATATAAGGGAGGATCCTAGCCTTTATTTATAATACAGAGTCAGTCTCTTGCCCTTTTCTTTGTGGTGATAGTCTAGAAAGTATAAATAGAATTACTGACTGCCACTGTGTCATGCAGATCACAGTTTATTTACCATTCCTCCTACAACTCCTCTGGCTGCCTGGGGAAGCTATAGAGGGAACTGTGAATAAACCATGACGTTTATGAAAATAAAAAACATGACAAATGAGGATCTTCAATCCACAGCCATGGGTCTTTTGGAGAAGACCTTGGATTGGTTTGGGGCTGTGGGGAGCAGTACTACCAAAAACTTTTGCAAAATTCCTGCAACCAGACTTCCTGCAGCCAAATTTGCTCTTCTGCTGATCAACCACTTTGACCCTGACATATCCTGCCGCAATGGCCACCCTGTTTTCCATTCACACTTCCCTCCCTCCCAACTCTGTTAACTACTCTGGATCCCAGTATTCCCAACCTGATTGCTTTGTTGGTTCTTCCCTGCTTAAAACGAATTGGTTAACATCCTAGAATAGTTTGCATCAGAGGAATTAGTGTTTTAAAGGAGTATGGATGTGCACAAGATATCTTGCTCCCAAAGTTTCACTCCAAAAGCGATCTGATTGGCTGGGGGCAGGGCCGGTGCTACCATTAAGGCAAACTAGGTGGTTGCCTAGGGCGCCAAGATTTGGGGGCACCAAAAAGCGGTGCCCCCAATTTTTTTTTTACAGCGTTCCTACGTCCCCTCCCCGAGCGCGTGGTCACCGCTCCACTTCTCCCGCCTCCCAGGCTTGCGGCGCCAATTAGCTGTTTGGCGCCACAAGCCTGGGAGGGGAGGAGAATTAGAGCGGGGGCGGAGTGCTCGGGGAGGAGGCGGAGCAGAGGTGAGCTGGGGTGAGGAGCTGCCGCAGGGGAGGGGGGAGGCGCCACAGGGCGGGGGGGGGGCGGGGAGCTGCCGCAGGGCTGGGGGCGCAAGGTGGAAGTTTCGCCTAGGGTGCGAAACTTCCTTGCACCGGCCCTGGCTGGGGGGGATGGACTCAACTGCCTGTCAAAACATTCTCTGATCAGTCCCATAGGTACAGACGTTCATACTCCTACTGGAAAGTAAGTGAGGCTCATTACTGTCAATAGCAAACATTACACCCTGGGATAAAATTTACCATAATATGGACTTGAAGCGAAATTCTTTAAAAGTACAAAAAAATTAAAAAAAAATATGCACAACTTCTTAGTAACTGAACTTTATTTAGAATCTTTGGAAATAATAAAACATCTTATTTTACTGATATACATAAACATACTATCAGTAAGTTTCATTGTTTTTTTCCCTTGCACAGACGTAGATAACAATTTTAACAAACCAGAACACTTCGACCCAGACAAGCATAATTGAAATTTAATTCTAGAATTGGTCCTTTAAATACTGTACTTGCCTTCCCCACATGTTCACTGGTTTATCAAGTAGTTGCAATGCAATTTTTGGCAGTAACATACTCAGCACACAGAAAAAGTGCAAGTTACAAGAAGCAGTAATATTATCTCAAATCTGAACAATGAGAAGTGCAAAATCTCAGCCCATAAATTCTATATTTTTTATATCAACCATATGTGCATAAGAGATGACAAATGGCCATGTAAAATTTAATAGAATAATGTTGCAATATTTTCAAGTATGCATGTAATGGTTATTTGATCAGAATAGTCATTAGATTTTGGTCATAACCTTGCAACATTGTTTTATCAAGGTGCATCTAAAAGGGTTATCTAGGTGCATTTAGCTTCTGCATACTTGGATGTTCTGGAAACCAAAGGTGGGTAGTTAAAAGTTCTTCAATTCGGTACCTCTGGACGTTTGATGTGCATCTGTAAACAAGATTCCTCTAACACTTCATATTAATAAATCAACCAGCACAATGGAAATGAAATCCATTCAAAAACATAAGTCTCTTTCAGGCACTATTTATGGAATACCCATAAAATATTCCAACAAGTTAATGCACTTTGTGATTTGTTATATTTAGAGATAATTTTTAAATGAGATAAGGAAAACAACATTCTTAATGAGAGCTCATCACCTCTTCTATGCTTACTACTTTATCACTTTTAACCTCACTTCAATATACTTTTCTTTATACAGTCAGGAGAATAATATCACATTTTAGCTAAAACATACTGAAGAACAGTAATTATAGGATTTCGAAAGGAAGCCTGGTTTCATTTACCGATAGGAAGGTCTCATACACAATTGATAATTAAATCAGCTGCCAATTTCAATACTCTTCCTATTTTTTAATTCACTTTTCCTTGCTGTATCATTATCATCATTAAAAATTAGCCCTCTTAGCCCTACATCATACTGAGGTGCTTTCTGCATGCCACCAGTCTCCACAAAGTTAGAAAGATTAAACAGCATGGACTTGCATTACCACTTATTTGCTTTACAAGTTCACTTGCTAAATCTCTTAGTGGCATTGCACAAAACTAGGTTCTAGCAATCTGAAGCCCAGGATACTGGATGGGTGGTAGTTTCTGATAAGTAAAGGTCCCTTTCCCACACCAGCTGACACCATGCAGACTTTTGGAAACTTGCAAAATGGTTCAATCTGCCTTCATTTAGCCCTCAGCGCTAGTGGGAATCACAACTTACTAGCTTTCACATTAGCTGAATTATAGTACCACATTATGGAGGCAAACTCTGGCCTTCTTAGAAGTCTAACTGTGGACACTAGTACTGCAATTCAGCACAATTACAAATGCATGTACTGAGCATCTTGGTCATTTCAGAACATTTCTTTTTCTATAAAAAATTAATTAGAACAGAATAAGACATGTTGCTCATGCCACATCTAGATCTTAAAACACTGTCGGAGATTTTGAAAGACCTGAAAAAACAGGCCCCTCCCCCAGTTTTTTTTTTTTAATGTTAAAGGCTGCAAATTGACTCATCACAATAATGATGGGGGCGGGGGGAGGGATAGCTCAGTGGTTTGAGCATGGGCCTGTTAAACCCAGAGTTGTGAGTTCAATCCTTGAGGGGGCCACTTAGGGATCTGTGGCAAAATCAGTACTTGGTCCTGCTAGTGAAGGCAGGGGGCTGAACTCGCTGACCTTTCAAGGTCCCTTCCAGTTCTAGGAGATAGGATATCTCCATTAATTAATTTATTTTATTTATTATTTATAATAATAATCACTAACTGGCATGGACCTATCCAGAGTGATAAATATGAAAAGTTAGCATTGACTGTCAAACTTACTGTGCAGAGCACAAACACTTTCCCAGAGGAGAATCGGATATTTCGTCATTTGGAACTGTGGTAATTTAATTACATTATTAATGTTTTCTGACATACTTGAAAGGACAATTAGCATAAGTAAATAATGAGTGAGATGACAAATCACTTAGCATTTATTTCTGATCATCAGATGATGATCTAAATTCTCTTTTGTGTGTGCGCGTTAATTCCAGTTTCAGCAATTGTAACAGGGATTTCCCATTGGTGGGGATAAACTGATGTTTAACTAAAGTAAAACACATATAGTTCATTAAAGTTTTCTAAGTTAACCTTGTTGAGAGGAAACAGAAGCCACAAGATATTAAAGAAGTAGAAAAATCACTGACCAATAAGCTTCATTTATAAGACTAAATGAAACAATAGAGGCAATAGGATTAGAATATACTAATTTTATCTGGAGTTTGTTTTTCATCTCACTCAGGACTGTACATTATCATAGCAGCTCTACGCTGTTTTAAAATAATTGCATTCATCTCCACATGTGCAATGAGATTCATGATAACACTGTTAAGGTTACAGATCCTTTCTGGCATTTCAGAATAGCTACAGCTTGCTCATGAGTAACACCTTCCAAAGCTTCTCCATTAACTGCTAAAATCTGATCGCCGCGCTTCAATCTGCCATCATCCGCAGCTGCTCCCTGCAAACAACAAAAAATGACCAAACAATGTGATGTGATTTAATTCTAAATTTCTTTAAAAAAAATACAGCACGACACTGCTCAACAACATTAATTCTCTTTGTTACCAGCTTTAAACCACAACTCTTTCCTGCAGCCATGACTCAGTATTGTGCTGGCAAATGCTGATGGTATTTGGCAGAGGCTTGATGCATGTGGGTGGGTGGGGGCACAGGGGATTTGCTGCCCTGTTTGTGTCCTTTTCTGGGACATCTGTTCCTCCTCAAGGAAGGGGTCAAGTCTTTGAAGCAGAAGGAGGGCTGTACTTCCTTTCTTCCTTAGTCTGATGGCTAGAGCCATTGCAATCCTCGGTGTAGGAATCTGGCTGGGAGCTCCTGAACCCCTTCTCCTTTAATGGGGCAGAGTCCTTTGAAGGACAGTGGGACCTTTCTAGGACTTTCTATCTTGTCATGGCTCTCTGCATGGAGACCCTTCCCACTCACCACTTCTGAGTCTGAGCCATCCCTTAGGTGGAAGGGTTTAGCAGGGCTGGCTCCAGGCACCAGCCCAGCAAGCAGGTGCTTGGGGCGGCCCGTCGGGCTGTTCGGCAGCAATTCGGCCGAACAGCCCTCTTGGAGGGAAGCACCTGCCGCCGAATTCCCGCTGAAGAAGCTGCTGCCGGAGTGCCGCCTTCCGCCACTTGGGGAGGCAAAAACCCTGGAGCCGGTCCTGGGATTTAGCAATGCGTGGCTGATTTGGAGGATGGCCCCACCTGGCCCTGGTTTCTTTTCTGGGATAATGAGGTGGGGCACCGGATGAGGGACTGAGGGCCTTATGTGTGCTGTTAAGACAGCTGCACAGGGTGTGTGCCACAGGGCTTCTGTTTCGCCTCAGAGGCCTGCTCTCCTCCAGCAGCAGCCTTCTAGGGGGAGTATTCTTTGCCTGCTGGAGAGAGAAACAGCTGAAAGCTGAGAGATGGCTTGACTCTCATATGAGTGGGAAGCGACACCCTCAAAGTTACAGATCCCGATTCTCATTTACACAATAGCCCCGTTATACACACTCACTTTAAAGCCCCTTTACACTGCCAAAAGTAGTCTAGCAGGACCACCATGCAAATGAAAACCAGGCCTTTACTGTTCTGTGTTCATCTGCTTATTGGGAAGAATCCTAACCCAAGCATCTGAACTGGTATAGAAGATCAAAGAGAAAAGTATTTATAGAAACCTGGAAGCTTTTAGTTTTATTTATTTATTTTTTGCTCAGTGCCAAGGGTGGACTTTATTTTCCCTCCAAAAAAAAAAAAAAAATGTAGGTAAAGTTACATAAAACAGAGCAAAACACTATACGATGTTCCACTAAAACAACTAAATGTATTGCTGAAGGCATAAGGTTCCCAATGACATAAAAGGCAGGAGGCTTTATTATTATTAATAATCATTTGTATTATTGTGCAGTAGGTATGTCACATCAAGGTTCGTGAATGCATTGATGGCTTTAGGACAGGAAAATTACACTAAACTTCTGGCCTTGTGCCAAAAGCTTATAAAGGCAGTCTTCTCTCCATCTGGGCTGCATCTGATGGGCCTTGGAGTCAGTATAAAGCAAACCAGTGATTAGAAACATGCCCAGAGAGTCTACGCAAGAGGTTATTTGAAGGTAAAGACAAAAAGGCATTCTGAAACGTAAATACTAGTCCCATAGTCTTTTCTTCTATTGAAATTTGTGGATTCACTAAAGAGAAAATCAATTCTAAGTGCCCTGAACACTCTACAAAACCACTGGCCTGAGATGTTTGTGGAATCCTCCAGATATTTATGCAGCCTTACATCGGTCCCCTACCATTTTTTCTGTTTGGTCTAATTCATTGAGACTGTACTATAAAAGAGACTTTATGCTAACACATCTTTCTGTTAAGCATTCCTAATTCAATAGGGCTAGAATTCAGTTGAGCCCGAATTCCAGATCTTGACATCAGTGAGTGATGGGGAAATTAGGATGGGGATCTGCACCTCATGACTAGTCCCTATTTTTACAATGGGCCAAACCAAGATCTTGGATTCATGCATGCCATATCTTTAGGGAAGTTTGAAGCCCAATGCAAATTCTGCGGCTCGGTCCATGTTTACACAGGACCTTAGCTGTAAGAAAGCAAGACTGTCAGGCTGCAGGCAGGAATCCTCCTCTTGAACGAGAGCTGAGCGCAGCAGGTAAAACCCCCACAGTCACTTTCAAAGCTTTTGAACTACAACTTTGAAAGTTAAAAAAGGAGAGAAGGGGGAGGCTGTGGTGGTGCTGAGCACTTCCCAAGTTGGAAACAGGTAAGTTAAAAATTAATAAAGCCGTAGGGCCTGATTCCCCATTACCCTGCCCCTCGTGAAGTCATCTACACCAGTGCAAAGTGTGAAACACTACTGTTGTGATATGGTAGCATTTTATACCCAGTTTGCACTGGTGTAAGTGACCTCACAACACGCAGGGCAATGGAGAATCAGGCTGATAGCATCTTCCCCTTTTCTCATCCAAGAGAGTCTTTTCTCATCCAAGTTGGCCACAACATGGATGTGAGGGAGCGTCTGACCACAGAGACCTGAGTTTTACTTCTGGCTTTGCAACTAACTTTGTGACCTTAGCAAGACATTTAACCTCTCTGCAACTGTTTCCCAAATGTAAAATGCTACTTATACACTTGTGCACAGCATAGGCGCCGACTCTGTGGGTGCTCCAGCCCCGGAGCACCCACAGAATTGGCGCCTATGCTGTGCACAAGTGTATAAGTAGCATATACAGCTCTGGGGCTGGAGCACCCACGGGGAAAAGTTGGTGGGTGCTCTGCACCCACTGGCAGCTCCCCACCCTGAACCCCGCCCCAGCTCACCTCCGCCTCCTCCCCTGAGCATGCCGTCCCCGCTTCTCCTCCCAGTGCTTGCCGCCGTGAAACAGCTGTTTTGCAGCCTAAGAACCTGTGGGAGAGAGGGGGGAGGAGCGGGAACGTGGCGAGCTCAGGGGAGGAGGCGGGGAAGAGGCGGGGACGGGGTGGGAATTTGGGGAAGGAGTCCAATAGGGGCAAGGAGGGGGCGGAGTCGGGGCAGGGACTTTGAGGAAGGGGTTGGAATGGGGGTGGGGCGGGGGCGGGAGAGGACAGGGAAGGGGTGGAGTCAGGGCGGGGCCAAGGATGAGGGGGTGCAAGCACCCACCGGTGCCAGGAAAAGTTGGCGCCTATGGTGCACAGCACTTTGAGACCTACGGATAAATAAAGCCTTATACAGATTATTTTAAAGACATTTCCCAAATACACAGAGTAACATGTATTTACTCAGATAAGGTCTCTCTTTCCACATGTCAGCATAATAAAATAGCAGCTTTTCCCTCATCCTTGCTAGCTGATAGTGAGCTTTGGGTCCCGGCAGTGATGATCAAATCACACATACCCAGACAATGAGTTTGGGACACAATTCTTTTGCATTAAACTTGTTATCTGTTCCTAATTTTAGGGTTTTCAAAAGATATATGCAAAAAGGAAAAAAAGATACCTTGGCAAATATAGTCTTGACATAAATGGGCAGGTCTCCATGGGGACTTCCATATCCCCCTACAATACTAAAACCCAGGCCATCAGAACCTTTCTCCAAAGCAATAATCTTAGGCTGAGGAGCCCTGAAAAAACAATGAATACCACTTAGAAGAACAATATATATCAAGTGAGGGTCTTTTTGTAGAAGGAACACTTTCAAATAGATTCAGACTTTCAAATAGATTCAAATAGATACACCCATTTTCCTTTTAAGATGTTTGTCATAATTTCACAAACCATGGCTCTGATCCCACGTTGAAATGCACTAACATGGACCCATGAACCTAAGTAGAGTCCCATTGACTTCACTTTTTATATACTTCCTTTAATAGGACTCAAAAAGAGCACACTATTCCCCAATAGCAGACTGTGATTCAGGAGTAAGGCCCACACAATTGCTATGTGTTTTTAAATACGATTTGCTCCCTGACAGTCCATCTTCTGCCCCAGTTTAGGAGAAGTGAATTTGCAACATCATTTCATAGCAACACAACATCATCGCCTGACTTCAGAGGCAATGTTGTCTAGTGGACAGAACATAAAACTGGAAGTCAGGAACTCCTGAGTGCTAATTTCAGCTCAATCACAGCCTTATAGCATGGACCAAAAAGTCACAAAGGCCCCAGTTTTGAAAGTTTCTCTGTGCAGGTTCAGAAGTCCACCAACCTGGAGTAACATGCAGTATTGGGCCCATAATCATTCATATCTCAGTTTCCCCATATGAAAAATGGGGTTTTCTTCTCTATCTCACCAGTGTTTTGAAGCATTACTAGTTCATGAGCACAAGGTAATTTACAGACGTAACACACTTTGTAAATAGTGGAGCTGAATAAATAGTTTACAATGAAAAAATTATTTGACAGATTTAGTTTTTCCGCTTGCTTAATATCAGTGAGCAGGAAGCCAGTTTCTTAGATTGATTCACGGTTTGGAAAAATATTCAATATTTTTTTCCATATCTGACTTTTTTTTTTAAACTTTATGGACTGAGAGTATTTGATATTTTGCTAATCTGAGTTGGTCAAAACAATCTGATTTGTGCTCTTTGACTGGAGAAGTGCACAAGCACTCAATGCAAATATTAGCATGTGCAAGCTTAAAATAGTTCCCACAACTTCTTAACTTCAAATGAAAACTCCCTTTTTTCAAATATTTGTGAGAGTTCAAATTGGCTGGATGTACATTCATGGAAAGAGAACACAAGAGGGGCATGGACAAATCTCATTCATGCAACAATTTGAGATAATATTTGTGATTTTTTTGTTTTTCCACAGTTAGCGCTAAGCATTATTATTATTGACTAAAGGAACAATACAATGAAAAAGCTAATGGAAGACAGAATCCCTTTAATATAAATGAATATCTTCAAGCTCAGCAAAATACATGCACATTTGGAACTTTTATATCAATCCCCCTGCTTTCGGAAAACCTCTTCTTGTTTAATCCCCGAGATGATGGATTATTTTGAACTGCAGTTGTCATAACTCATTTCAAAGAGGAAGCTGCGAAACAGGAGCAGAACCATCATGACAACACATCAACTGGAAAATCTACGGAGATGTGCTTTTTGGAAATCTATCAAAAACAAAAGCATGAAGATTCACACTTGAATTACCAGATGAAGGCAGGTATGGTTCCACTCCTCACCAGTAGAGGACAATAGTGAGCATTTTAAAGGTGCTGAAAAATTAGTTGAAATGACAAGAGAAGAGAGCAAACACACTGTCCATGCCTGTGCGAGGGAACGGAAATGTTTGAGTATCCTTTAGCCAGTACTCTGAACTAGAGTACTCCAACATCAAAGAGTGCATACTTACTCTGGATCTTCAGAATGACAATCAAGAGTAGGCGAGTTAAGATTACATCCAGCAGACATGCTCTCTAATTGGCTAGCTATGGCACTGATATTGGTGTCGGCTACAACCTGAAAGTCAGGATGCAAGAAAATGTCAGCAAGGGGTCAGACTGCTAAACAACATCTTTACTTATTACACAACAAATACTGAGTATGTTACGAAAAATGGCTACTTTTTACAATCAAAACTTCATAAAAGATTTTAAAAATATTTTAAGTCCTTTATAAATTGAACTCAAATTACATTCAAATCACAGATTCATGAAGAAAATGTAAGAGGACCACCAATTTTCTGCAAGGATACAGCACAACACTTTTATTCTAATTTAAGGCCAGATTACCCTGGGGCCTCATACTATATTAAGTTTTGTTCATGTTCCTGCATTGTGGGTGGAGAGAGGCCGGGTTCCAAGGTCAACAGCAGATGAAGGGACCACATCAGGGGGACATAATGGTGCCCCAGAGCTGTTAGGAAGGCCTTAGGGACACAAATGGGGCATCAGAGCTGGTACGAAGCAAAGGCAATCTAACCGAAGGCCCTGATCTTTGGTGAATCCCAGAGATACAAGCATCCATGAGGCTGAAACTCCTACTCATCCTGTAGAGCAAAATAACCCTAACCTCCCAAAGGACCAATCTGTTGGAAGCTACTGAATGGAGATCTCAATTTTTCTTTTCGTTCTCCCCCATATCTCTGGGTTTTTTTGTTTATTTCTCATTGGAGCGAGCAAATCTGGCCCTCATTTTAATCTTTCTGCCCCCACAAATTCTAACGTCTCCTTCTCCCTCTACACCTTATATCTGGGTAATCTCACCCACAAACACAAATTCAACTACCATCTCTATGTGGGCAATTCACATACAGTAGTAGAGTAGAGAACACATAGGAATTTAATACTTCAGATGAAACCAATGACATGAAAGGTGAAATGTAAGGTGAAGCTAAGTTCAAGGATGATTTACTTTCTCAGTGAAACAGAGAAGTACAGAGGGCGTCAACTCAATCCATTCTTTTAAGTTCTCTGTTTATATGCCTTGTCTCCAATAAAGTATTTCCCCTTCTCTTCTAGACACTGTCTGTATTCCTGCAACATATTTTACTCTCTGTGGGCCATGTAAAGGAGCCATGTAAAAATGTGGAGCTCAGAAATGCCTTTCTACATTGGCTAGTAAAGGCCACGCATTAGTGAACAGCTTTCGCTTTTCACTTCCCATGGGTGAGCACTCTACAACCATGATTCAGATGACTCCAGGAGATAGCAAACCTGCTTCTCAGCCCCCTGGCCAGGTCAGAGGCAGGTAGCTGGAGCCAGGCAGTGCAGGGCAGCTGCTGCTCTGGCTGATGCCATGGAACAGGCAGCTGTGGTGTTCCCCCATCTCCTGCTGCTGCTGGTGCCAGGGCCGGTGCAACCCATTAGGCGACCGAGGCGGTCGCCTAGGGCGCGAACATTTGGGGGGTGGCGACCGCGGCGGCCGGATCTTCGGCCGCCCCGGTCGTCGTCGGTATTTTGGGGGCGGGACCTTCCGCCGCCTCTGTCGGGGGCGGTATTTCAGGGGTGGAACCTTCCGCTGCCTAGGGCGGCAAAAAAGCTGGCAGTGCTCCTGGCTGGTGCCTGGTGGCTGCAGCTGCTCCTCAGCATCCAGCCCCCTTTCACTGCTTGTGCAGCCGATAAGAGCCGCCCGGACAGGTGGAGCTGGCTCCAGGGGTGGTAGAGCCCTCAGGGAGCAGACACTGCGGGAGGGGTGTCCCCTCCCAGAACACAGCCCCTAGCTATCCCTTGCCTACAGCCTGAGCCCCTCCCAACTGCCTGCACACAGCTCCTAGCTACCCCTTGCCTGCACTTCGAGAGGTTTTCAGACTTTTTGAGCTGACCCTCCCCACCCTGCTTTGACTTATAATTTTTGGTTGCGCCCTCCTCCCACAACCCAGACTGGCTTGGTGGCTTGCTGAGGTGAGTCAGGGGGTGGAGGTGGCACTCCCTCCCAGGGCCCTGCCATGCAGAGCTGGCCCATACCCCACTAGGCCCTGCCCCTCCACCCCCAATAGAAATCAAAGTACATCTATGCCCAAGACCTCCCCTCCCCCCAGTAGCTGAAGCCTGGAACCCTGCAGGGCTAAAACCCCAAGCCCCCTTTGCTGGGCAGCTGAAGCCCAGAGCTGCGAGGATCCCCACTGGACCCTGGAGTTGTTAATAGTACGGTGGTGGGGGAGTAAGGGGGCTCAGGAAAAAAAAAAAAAAAGGTTGAGAACCCCTGTCCTAACCCATCAAACAGTGATTCTTAGTAAAATCCTCAAGCAAAAACCAGAATGCCACAATTTTAATGTGAGTTTCATGTTCTAGGTTTCAGGCTCATAATTCACCCCTTTTGGGGTGGTCAGGACAACAGCAGAATTGCACATAGTTCAGAAGGTAGAAGCTGTTGTAAATAAATGTATTCCAATATTCCAGTAGGGGGGAAAGTTGTCGTATTTCCTTGTTAAATAAAACCCAATGGCAAAATAAATCTATATTCACAAATCTGTGGCAGTAAGAATGTATCAGAGTTCAACAACCTTGTAAAAAGCTTCTTATCTCATTACTACACCTGCAGAAAGCAGATTAATTTAAACTGAAGTATCAAAACAGCCGGAAGGGACGATTGTTCCCCCGAGAACCTAATCTTCCATTTGCAAACTCCTTTAACACCCTTCCCAGGGCATCCCGATAATAAGCCTTTCCAACCCAGTGAACACAATTATCTGACCTTTCAGTGCAGTTTGCCATGAGGTGGTCTAACTTGATAATAAATACAATTACTTAATGACATGTCAGTCATGATATCAGCCTGATAGAACTATTCCACTTATATTGTTTTAATAAAAAAGTAATGAAAAGTACCAATACTTAGCATTAATATAATCATTTCCTGTTCATCATATTTACAGCCACCACTAATATACCTGAATACTTTGTTTACCTGTCTAATTGTATTATCAAAAATAACTTCTTAGCTTCCCAAAAGGAATTTTTTTTATTTGTGGAAAAGGACTGCATTGTATTGAGAATAAAAATACAAAATGTGAGAGAAATTAAGCAAATTCTAAGCTATCTAGCAGTTGTGAATGTGAGAGAAAAAACCCTCAGCTTTTATATACGAGATTTTTGTATCCAGTATTTTCCTCTTAGCAGGTTCAAGTTGTGTATATTGGAGAAACAGAAGAGGGCTGCTGTAATCAAAAATAAAAACTACACATTCTTCAATAGTATTTTTTTACCCTTAATTGCCACATTTATCAGCGGTGTACCTAAGTACTGTAATTTGGTTGATAATCAGTCCTACACACTAATATATTGAATTGAGATGTAATAATTTATACCAAACCCAACTAGAGTTTTCGTTTTTTTTCACTTCCACGAACAAAGAAATTAACACTTTGGACAGCTCAGTCCCAGTCTAGCAGCACAAGAAAAGGAGTCATTCCATGTTTGTAGCTAACTTACTTTTAAAAAAAGTGTTGGAAGCTAAAAGCTTTCTTGCTTTATCATGTGTAGCAACAAGTCATTTTGTTCCCCGTTATGCTTTTATATAATCATACTCACAGTCTGTATGGGTGGCAATAAAGAATTTTTGAATGAAAATAATAATTTATTGCTTTCATTCTGTATAATTCACATCAAGAAGCACCCCACTGCGCTGTGATGTCGTGTGCCAGTGATGCTTAGTCTTTTTTGAACACCACTTATCTACCCTCATGCAGCTGCATGTTCAATTTATCGCCATACCTGCAGGATAATGCTCCCATAAGCATTCTTTAGTAGATTAACAGCATCAGCGTGAGACAGCCCGTCCAAAGGTTGCCCATTAATACTGACAATCCGATCTCCAACCTAAAAGTACAACAGTAATGGAAAATTACTAGCATTAAGGAAAATTAAATTTAAGGATGCTTAAAATTCCTTATGAAATTGGCACTGCAGACTCATGCGTCTCATATACAGTATGTCTTTTGTGAGGATTCTGTATTTCCACTGATCTTTCAGCATTCTTCAGAGTAAGGATAATGCACATTTCTTAAAAAATAACAGCCCAGATAAACAAAGAGAGGTCATAGTCTATTGATGACATTTGCAAGTAAGGAGAATGACATTAGCAACCAACCATTTTCATTCCATGTGGAAAGGCCACATGTATGTCCACATACATGGATAAGGAGAGGGGTGCAGGTGTGTGTTTTAACTGTAATATAAGAAAGCAGACGCTAGCCATATTAATTCATAAATGAGTAAATATATAAGCTTTTGAGTCTAATAAAAACGTATGCTGCTGATATACCAGGCCTTAGCACCCTTGCAGAGTTCCGTTAAGCACGGGTCTATTCTAGTGGATCTCATTGTAGGATCAGAGCCATGGCTTTCCTGTGCATATTATGTATATTCTTCTTTCAAGTAGGTAATTTCCATAGATTATGATTCATAGCTTCTAAGGCCAGAAGGGGTCCTTGGATATATCTACACTGCAATTTAAAACCCACAGCTGGTCTGTGTCAGCTGACTTGGGCTTGCAGGTCTCAGGCTAAGAGACTGTTCAATTTCAGTGTAGATGTTTAGGCTTGGGCTGGAGCCTGGGCTCTGGGACCCCACAAGTGGGGAGGGTCCTGGAGCCCAGGTTCCAGCCTGAGCCCAAATGTCAACACTGCAATTAAACAGCCCCTTAACCCAAGTGGACATGGGCCAGCCACAGGTATTTAACTGCAGTGTAGACATGTCACTGTGATCATTACTCCTCAGGGAATTCTGCACCACTGCATATGTGCAGAATTTTTTTTTTCTGTGCATAAAATATATTCCCTCCCCAGAAGTGCTGCCGTTCTGCCTTTCACACACCAGAGGCCGCTGCCACAGCAGCCGGCTGTGTTCATCACACCACCCTGCCCATGGAGCCAGTTTAGGAGGCACAGGATATGCGTGCGTGCGTGCGTGCGTGTAGGGGGGGAACAGAGAGTGGGGCGGCTCACAGACTGATGTTCAGAAGAGCTAGTGAGGGGGGAGAGACTGGGTGGGGGCACAGGAGCTAGTGGGGTGACAGCATTGAGCCAGGGGCTGAAGGGGGGGGGGGGGGGGGGCGGGGCCCAAGGGAGAAGGGGGGGGATAGGGGGCTGCAGAGCCACTTGGGGACAAGGGGGTAAAAGGGTGCAGGGGCACACAGGGACGGGGAGTGCAGGGGCATATAGGGACAGGGGCAGATGTGCCTGACTGAATGAATGGGAGAGGCTAGAGTGTCAGTCAGGGTCTGCATGGGGGAGGCTCCCCAACTCCCTAACAATCCCCCCCCCAAAAAACCTGTTTCCTACTTCTCCCACCCACACCCAACAACCCTCCAGGTTCATTCCTGGGCTCTTTCCCTCTCCCTCAGCTCCTCCACTACCCCTGACTTCCCCAAGCCTTTATACTGCTTCTAAGGGGTGCAGTAAATACGTTTCTGTAGTGTAGTTTAAACAAATTACTCAAAGTTCTGTATTAAGTTGCATAGTAAGGAATCTATTTGTCAAAAAAAAAATATTTCCTGAATCTTTTTTTTGGTCTATATTAATACAGATATACTTGCGGACAGGTATTTTGAAAAAAATTACCAAAATAATTGAAACTGGCATGATGATATTGTGTTATTTTGACAAATAAAATATGCAGAACTTTGCAGAATTTTAAAATATTGAGCGCAGAATTCCCCCAGGAATAGATCATCTAGTCGGACCTCCTGTATAGCAATAATGTAGGATTTCCCTGAAATAGTTATTTCAACTAGTGTATATCTTAAATCAGTCTTGATTTAAGAATTGCAAGTGATGGAGAATCCACCACAACTTTGATAAGTTGTTCCAATGGTTAGTTACGCTTCACTATTAAAAATTTACATCTTATTTCCAGTCTGAATTAGTCTAGCTTCAACTTCCAGCTATTGGATCTTGTTATATTTTTGTTTGCTAGATTGAAGAGCCCATTCCCTCATTTTTGTTCCTCACGTAAGTACTTATAGACTGCAATCATTTTAATAATGATAGTTATCCTGAAAGTCTACCCAATAATTGTGGGATGTTCAACACAGTAGTTCATCAAAAACTGAAACATAATAGCAACAGTCTTTCGAATTTAAAGTGTAATTTTTTTTGTTTTGGCACCTGAAAAAGTCAGTTTCAATTTAAAATCAGTTACGTGTTGCCAGAGTTTTTGTTTTGTATAAGATCTAAGGGGTGCCCCAGTTGTCCATGGACCACCTATGACCTGTGAAGCAACTGCCTCTGATCCTTGCAGAGAGCTGACTGGTCATGTAGTGCTGACTTTCCCCTCTGTTCCCAGCTACTGGACTGCATTAAGAGACTGTTGCAAATACATTTAAATACTTCCAGAATGTTACATTTTCACATAGACAATCAATGTAATTGTCACAGGGATGTACTGCACTCAGCAGCAGCAGGCACAGGCCATCTCTGACCATGAATGGGAGGGGAGAGGGTCTAGGAGACAAGGTGCCTATCCAGGAGTGATCCACACTTACAAATGTTTGAGAGCTCCTTTTCTAAACGAGCACAAGATAAAATAGTGAATACTAGAGGAGGTGATATATATTCCCCCTTCCACTTACTTTGAGCCTTTGGGTACGTGCTGCTACTCCACTGGCTTGAATCATGGCGATAAAGATTGGAACATCTCCTAATGGGCTTCCCTTCCCTCCTGCTATACTGATACCAAGGGCATCATTTGGTCCCTAAAAGGAAGAAACGTATCAAAACAATTCACAGTGTAACAATGTATAGCTGTGTGTGTGTCTATATATATTCCCCATCTGCACTCAGTGATTCAAGACAACAGTTCTGTTAGGTGACAGCCTGGTCCTTTACACATTACTATGGGGCTTACTATACACTTACTATAAGCAGCCACATTGTACAGAGAACTATGCCTGGTAGCAAGTGTTTGCAGGACAGGGCCCCAAGCCTGTAAAAGAACCTGAGATACCCAGGCAGATTGGACATATTTAATTCAGTAACAACACCTCATATATCTAGCTATAATTAAAACCATAAAGTGCCAACACCAATTAAATAATAATGCAGTTTTGCATGCCAAAAAGTAGTGAAAAATTAACAGCTATCGTTGGAAACAACACCTTTCAGAAAATAACTCACTGACCCTCAATATCTCCACAGTCCTCAGGTCCATATCTGCTTCTACTAAAAAGGAAACAAACAATTAACTTCTGTAATTAAGAGATAATATAATTAAGAGATAACACTGTCAGGTGACAATGATCTCTGGCTGACTAGCCAAAGTTATCACTGAGCAAAGCAGAGCCCTTTCGGGCGCTGATCATGTGACAAGGACAGGATTTCTGTTTCACCAAGTGATAAACATGGATACAATCACTCTGTTTGATAGATGCCATTGTGACATCCACTGTACGCAGCAGTTGCTCACATAATCTATTGAATAGCAGTGTTTTGTTGGCCTAGGGAATATAGACCTATTGTGTGTTGCACTCAATTAAAGATTAGCTTATTATTCATAAATCACAGTGTCCCCACCACAAAGGGTACTGTATATGTCTGGTTTGTGCCTGCTAAAGTTCTATTGATTTCCTTTTCTAATTTGTGCTGTATTAGTAAATAATAGACATCCAGTTAATCAGTCTGGCTGGCACAGATTCCTCGTGGCACACAATTAGCTACAGTGCCAGCTAAAAAGCACTAAAATTATATGAAAGAATTGGAGATGGTCTAGAAGCAAAAAATATGAAACTGGAGCTAAATGACCTCAACGTTTGAGTATTCAGATCCAGGGTTTTGACGGGTAAGTCTCTAGAAAGGATGTCTCAGTAACTGTGTTGGCTTTAATTAAAATATATCAGATATGTTTCTGAAGATTAATGTTATCAGTCTCTTTCAAGAGTTAATGATTTTGATTAATAGATAGAAGTAATTTTCTCTACAGATGATATCTATATTATATTGCACACAAATACAGTACAGAATGGTACTATGGGGGTATAAAGGTTCTCTCAGCCTGAGTTTGGGATGGGCACACTGCTAATGAGTTGCAAAGCTGGAAGTGAATTATGGAAGGCATGGCAAAGAAATGGCAATATTTCAGGCCCTCTCAGGGATAGAAGTAAGTGTTATTAACATAGGAAAGAATCTTGCCTATTCTGGGCCTCAGGTAAGGGAAACTGGGGAGGGGAGTGGGAAGTCTATATTTAGAGAAGAAGGAAACATTTCTCTGGAAATTTACTTAAAAATAATGGCATTTGCTGGAAGCTGCTCAGGGGGTTTGGAATGTCAGAATAAATCTTGTGGGAGATGGATAAGGAAACCAGATTCAGCTAATATAGGACTTTATTTTTAAACCAGCATAACAGAGGTTCGTGTCTCTGAGGAATAACACACACAGTGATTTTGGCATCTCTCTCTAGTTTGTACCTGAATTTCTCGGAGATGCATCTGCCGACAGCCTCTTGGTGCTGACAAAGTTCTGTAAGGTAGTGATGACTGGAGCCAGTGCAGGATGAAAGTGACTGTGCATGCTGTATTGGTTCACCTGAAAATAAAGATAAAACCAGTAATTGTGGGGCAAACCAAATGCACTATCCCCAGGTTTATTCTTCTGGAAGTGAGGGCCCATCTGTGCCAAAGAAGTGAAACTAGAGATAGGTTCAATGGTTTTCAGACTGGTTAGTTCCTGCATCCACAGGGCTTCTGCGCTGGAAACTCAGGCATCTACTCCACATTCCTCTCCAAAGTGGTCTATCATCCCTGTCAGACACACAATACTGGTCTTAGTCATAAAGGGCCAGATTACACTTCTAAGGCTACGTCTTCACTACAGGGGGGGGGTCGATTTAAGATACGCAAATTCAGCTACGCGAATAGCGTAGCTGAATTCGACGTATCGCAGCGGACTTACCCCGCTGTAAGGACGGTGGCAAAATCGACCTCCGCGGCTTCCCGTCGACGGCGCTTACTCCCACCTCCGCTGGTGGAGTAAGAGTGTCGATTCGGGGATCGATTGTCGCGTCCCGACGAGACGCGATAATTCGATCCCCGAGAGGTCGATTTCTACCCGCCGATTCAGGCGGGTAGTGTAGACCTAGCCTTAGATACACCTACGGTGGGGACCACCCAGGTGCTGATCTGCTCCTGGCCCCATGGAAGTGGGGATCAGACACCTCCATGGCACAGTTCCATTTGTCTCTGGGACTGCGTGTAAGGATGGATGAGAGGGATGGTGCATTTTCCATTGGCAGCCTATGGGAATTCTACAGGTGCGTTAGTACAGCCAGAGGGGACATCAGTTTTAATACCGAGCCTCTTTTGTGCTGGTGAATCCCCCTTTAAAGAGTGTGCCAATGGCTGCTGCAGGTAGGAAAAGCAACACAGTCATTCTGCCAGGGAGCTATAGAAGGCTATAGCCCAGGGGTGGCCACACTTATTGACCCTCTGAGCTGCATAAGATAATCTTCAGAAGTTCAAAAGCCAGGTGCACCTGCTGGGGCGCAGGGCTTCAGCTCCACAGGGTGTCTCTGCTGGGATTCATGGCTTCTGCCCTGCGGGAGGCACCTGTCAGGCTTGGGGCTTCAGCCCCGCTCCTGCTGAAACAGAAGCCCTGAGCTCCCCTCCACCCAAGTCTGGTAGGTGGAGAATGGGGGGAGAAGAGGTGTGGGGGGCTCCGCGAGCCGCACTTTAATTGTAAAAGAGCTGCATGCGGCTCACAAGCCGCGGTTTGGCCACCCTTGCTATAGCCACTGCAGAGGCTTCTGGATGTACGACCCTGTGCCCTTCTGCAGATCCCCGAGATTCAGAAATCACAGAAGATCCATGAATTCTGGTCGCCAGACGTGACTACCTCTGTAATGGAGCATGTTACACTTTGCTCCCACTCCACTGAAGGAATTTGGGGAAAAAATCTGTGGATTTTCATGGAATTTCCCTGCCTCGGGATTCTGCCAGAGGATTTTCTGTAGAAGGGATGGATTATGGGGCTCGTGTTTGGGGACTACACAGAGTGCTCAGCTTCCATGTTGAACAAAAAGTTTCTAGCCCCGTGCCTTGCAAAGACAGCCTTGAAAATGCAAATATATATCGTCTGAATTAGGGATGTAGGGAACAGCTGCAGGGCTCTAACTTCTGCAGCAGGCCACTGTGAGGTGGTGGGGACCAAAACCTCCTCTCTTCCCACAGACACTTTTTTCATGATAGGAGTCAATGACGTTTGGATTGTATCCCACGAATTGTCTTGCTGAACTTCCCCAAAATTCTCAGTCTGGCCCTGTGCACAAGTGGTTTGGGGCAGGAATCGTATATGCTTTCAGATGGGTGGGAAGTTATTTTTTGGGCCCATCTAAACTCTTAAACCTCATCAATCAAAGTGTCTCTTCCCTTGGACAACCTGGTGAGGGATTTGTTAGTGTGACAGGGTCGGGCCAGATGGCTACAGGAGAGTGATAGAAGGCAGATAGATTAGCCTCAGATTAAGCAGGTCCCTTTTCCCTGGGTAAGGTAACAGGGGCGGTTCCAGAACAACCAGGAACTTGCTGGAACCAATTAAGGCAGGCAGGCCAAACTGAGGGCTGCTGTGAATCTCTGAGGCGAGCAAATCTGCCAATAAGTGCAGGACCCACCAAGGCAGAGGAGGAACTTTGTCACATTAGCTAAGGCTGGGATAAATCCACCCCAAGACCTGGATTTGTATCCAGCGAGGGAGACTGTATTTTCTATGCTTCTTCAAACTCATATCATTCCTGCTACTGGCTTTAATGAGTAACTCTCTAATCCATGGGACATCCCTACTACCTGAGAGACGTGTATGTGTGTGTGTTATATTAAAGAATTAGACCGTGAAAGCAGAAAGGAACAGCAAGTGGGATGGGCCAATAGGATTAAAGTTGAGTTTGGTGATGGTAGAGAGAAGCAGAGGATCCTAAATGGATACTTTTATTTTGAGTACAGGTCCAATCCCTGGGTATAGAAAAGGACAGAATGAGATAGAAAAGTAAGTGGGACAAAGGGCAAACTTGTTGTTTGGATAACTAGAACTAGGTGAGTGACAAGCCATTTAATGTACTATTCATTTCTATCCAAATCTAGGAACAGAGGGGTTCCAATCCGTCTGGATATTTTCCACAGCTTTTCATCATCCCTACTTGAATCCCAGCGGCCAAGCTGCAGCCATGCATGCTTTGCGCCGAAGAAACATTTCTAGTCAAATAGATTTTCAAGCCACAAAGTGCTAATAAAATTTCTGGGGAATCAGGATTAGTGTTCCTTAGAGTGTATGGAGAACTCATTAGCACAAGCTCTCTGCTCTCTGGAGAGCTCCATGGACTAGTCCGGAATAAAGCTCAGAAATAAATGCATGTAGGCCAGACAAGTTTCTGTTGAATAGTTCAGAGTGAGGCAAATCTTAGATATGCAGTACAAACAAGGCACATGTGCTTATGTAGTGAGAAGGGGATGTGTACCATTAAATGGAAACAAAAAAGAGTGATAAATGGATTGTCACAAAATCTGTATTTACCTATGGAATTACATTCATTGCTGTGTAGTTTTATAAAGCTACAATAACACCTGAAAATCTTTTCTTTATAGTACCACAATTTACAGTAACTTAAGAACTGTTTGCCCAATCACCAAATTTAAATGTTTGGACTATTGGGCTAATGTAGAACATTTTAAAAATGTTGATCCACAGAGCGCTTACAAAGTTACAGCTTCAACTGATATAAGTTAACATAGAATACTTAAACTTTGGTGGATCTATGTGGAAAACTGAGTGGAAGCCAGGTTTTCAAAAGTCATTTCTTAGTTCACATACCTCAGTATTTGCAATTGACCTGCTTGCAAAATCCAAGCTTTGAGGTACTTAGAATTGCACATGGAAAAAAAGTACAAATGTTAAGGCCACTTTGAACATTTAGCCCTGGATTTCAAGAATCCACACATCATGCAATTATCAGAACTCAAATCAATTTTCACCCTACTTCCCCCAACTAATGCATATTCTATAGGACAGACACTTTCAGTGTCAATAATAGTAATACCGACCAAAACATGGCCATCAAAAACTCGTAAATCCATACACTTAGGCACTCAAAAAAACCCCCCAAAAAAACAAACCAAAAAAAGGACCAGATTTTCAAAGGTGTTGAGGACCTGCAGCTTCTATTGAGTTCAGTGGGATTTGCAAGTATTGGAGCACCTCTGAAAATGCCTAAGACACAAACATTTGAAAATTTTGGTCTGTGTGGTTACACAATGATACAGCACTTTTCATCTGAGGAACATCTGAGTTTTACATACACCCCGTCAGGTAAGTACGATCCTCATTTGCGTGAACTGAAACACAGAAGTTAAATGAGGTTCCCAAGGTCTCGGATAACATGTTAGTAGCAGTCACCTGGGGTGTGTTGTATAGTGCTTAGAGTATGCTGGGTTCTATTCCTGGAGGAGTTCCTGCTGTGCTTTGCCGCCATCATAATTCTACGTATTAACTTTGGCTCAAAGCCTGGCAGAGAACTTCAACCCTTCTTCCTTTGTCGGGAACAGAGATTTTCAGGAACTCAGGGTAAATTTTTTCATAAGAGCATAAATCTCACTTTCAAAGTGACCTAGCACTTAGGAGCTTAAGTCCCATTAACTTTCAGTAAGACTCAAGACTCCTAAATGTCATTTTTGAAAATGGAACATAGGCTCCTGAGTGGTTATTGAACAAGTAAAATTTTCAAGTCATCTTCTCTGTTACTGACTTTGGAGATACATCCATCCAGATTTCTAATTCTACCAGGAGGAACAGCAGAAGCTGTCATACCATTACCTACACTATCTGAAGTGGAGTCTTAAACTTTAACTTTTACATGTGAAACCTTGCAGTTTAGGTGTTCCATATTTCCTTCTGAATCTGCACCTATTCCACTACCTTTTTTTGTTCTGTAGGTGTATCTACCCTTTCGCATCCACTCCAAGATTGCCCACAACCAATGCTTGCTTTCTTGCTGACTGACCCTCATCCACGCTCAGTCTCAGTATTTTTTCCTCTTTTTCAGCTACACTCTTTAACAATTATGAAGCACAGACAGGCAGTGCTGGCTTATTTTCCATGGACCAGATTTTGGGCAACTCCTGTGTGGCTCCACAAAGAGAGGAGAAGGCTGCAAAGAGCTCTCTCCTTTTTTCAGGAGATGATCAAGATCCTGCTAGGAAGCAGAGCCTTTGTTCTCTCCCAGCACATGTGTGGGTGCTAGTTACCTGAGAAAGAGTGGGGTGAGGCTGGGCTTCATACCACTATGTACTTGCCCATACAGCTGGCTGTGTACAGAGGAGGAGGCAGTATGCTGCATCTTCAACCGCGATAATGTGGTCTCAAAGCATTTCCTGGGTGCCCCAAGGGAGAAATCTGATTTGCACAATGTAAATACTTTGCTGAGTGAGCCAGAGTTCCCAGAAGGAATCTCTATTATGACCTTAAGTTTTCCTGGTCAAAACAGTATGATTCAGGTGAGACAGCATCCCATAATTCCACTCTCCACTGTTGCACACAGATTTCAGTTTTGATGGCAACACTGTTCACAGTGCAAGTGCTAAAAAATTGCACTGGTGGAAAAAGGAAGCATTTTCCTTTATTTTGGAAAAAAAATAAGTAAAGTAGAAAATTGTTCTGTGTGTTCTTTGAGTGCAATATTTTGCACACCGCTCTGCTATTATAAGCTAGGCAAAGATACACTTTAGTGTCATTAAGTTATTTTTGGTTTACAAAAATAGCTACAGGAACGTAGCATTCCAATTTTGGGGGGAGGACAGGCTTATTAGACGGAAAAGTGATTAAATGTCTGTGGTATGCTCAAACCAGAGACATGCTGAAAATGAAAGCACTGGCCCATTCCTCTTTTTACTTGCCCAATATTTAAGTGTAGGACACCTAATTTAAACATCTTGTAGATTAATGAGATTTACTTAAAACTACTGAAAAAGAACAGTATTGTATAATGATAATTTTAAAACAGTAATCCACGTCCCAGATTCTGTCAGCTGCTCCAGACAGACCCTCATCTACGTTCCATGAAGACCACAACGACTTTATTGTCTATTGATACAATTGTCACTAACCTGACTGCTTTGGGATGTTTTCTGTGATGATAACCAAGAACCAGCTCTCAGTCTTCCAATCTCTAGGTGCACTAGCCCTTGAGCACACTTGGAATATAATAAAATATAATACACGGTAGTTAAACAGGGTTACAATATTTCTGCTTTCCTAGACTTACTCACATATATTTTCAGGCCATAATGTTGAAGAAACCATTGAAAATTGAAACCTAAAACCTAATTTTTTATTCCATTTGTTTTATCTGAACAATGTAAAAGGCATCCATCCCAGATTCTAGGGACTTCATAGAAAATCTATTGATTTCAATAGAAGTCTTTCCATTGACTTAATGACCTTTGGATCAGGCGCTAGATGCTCAGCCACCCATTACAAACCAGCAGCAAACCCCACCCTACCTGTCCAACGGAAAACAATACATCAGCAGGAAAAATACTGTAAAACAGAATGAATCTGAATTTGACATAAGCAGATTCACTTTAATAACACGTCCTCATACCCTTGCTTGCTGATTCCTAGATGGGCCAAATCCTTGCCCTCATGCAAAGTCTGAATAAAAGAACTTTGCACATGGAATTTGGAGGACAGCGTCCTCTCCTCCCAACATAATTTCAGGTAGATGGCAGAGGTAGCAGGCTACAATAATATTCCCTATAGCCAGAAATAGCATCCACAGTCTTCTGTCCCCTCCTACACTAACACAGGCATTCTTTCCTTGGCCCATCCACAATGTCCTTTCCCACAGTCCCATGGAGAGTGTTGTGCATGTGTAGCAAAGGAGGGGGCAGAGTCTCCTTGAGCAGGCTTGTCCATGCCCTGGATGTATTTCTGGCCAGGATTTGTCCCCCAGTACTTCAGGGCAACAGCACCAACATGTGACGAAAGCCTGGGCTTGAACACATTTACACTGCAATTCTATGGCTGCTAGGTTAGTGCAAGCAAAGCCAAAAGCATCTCATTCCAATTCAGTTCCACAATTTTATGACTCTCAGCTTTCATAACATTTTCCCATTGCTTGAAATAAATGGTTACATTCTCAAATAAATGCCTAAAGTGATATCTGTATCTTCATTTTGCCACGATGTACTACATAAATATATATGAAGAGCTAAAACTAAATGAATCTCCCAATGTAATTTCCCTATCAAATTCCTATCTGTCTCGATAATCAGTTTCAGGTTGTCCAGGCTATGTGTAAATAGCACCCCAAGATAATTACCTTGTATACACTCAGTAACTGCAGTTTCATATCTAAGAATGTATTATGTACTCACCTTGAGGATAGTGGCAACAACCTCTTGTGAGGCATTCCTCATATCCTCCCCATTAACAGACAAGATCTGATCTCCTTGTATTAATCTCCCATCCAGGTCTGCAGCTCCTCCTTTAACAATGTCAGAAACAAACACTCCACTTCCATTTCTGATAATACAAGAAGCATATGGCTAATTACACAATCCACTAGTCTCTGTGAGTGCAATTCAGATTACATACATTTATGAGACATTAAAAGAAACTTGGGAGCTGAGAAAAACTAATTTTAGATTACACCTAACCTTCTGAGGTGATTATAAGCTACAGATTTTAAACTCATTAAAATAGGAAACCATGCACTATTTCCCTTTCCCCTTGTGCTATTAGTTCTGGTGTGTACAATCTGTTCAGATAAGAAAAGCATATGCTACTGTAATATAAAAATACTGCCCAGACACCAAGGCACAATCTGCTAAGGATAGAGTTGGACTATCTCTTGATACGCTTGGTAAGAAGTGGCTTCACTATAGATTTCCTTTTCCACACAGGGCCAAATGCTATCTCTTTTCTGCAGCCTTGGAGTGCCCCAAGTCACAGAGAAGAGCACAGCACAGAGATTTTTGTAGCTTGCACATGAATTTGTGCACCCTGGGCAGCACAGAGCCCAGCTCTGTGGGACGTCCCAAGTACCTAGACTGTGAGGCTTGCAAGAGCAGGGTAGAGGTGGGTTAAAACGCGAAGGGGACAAGACCAGTGGATCCACCAGCCACAGAACAAGGGAGAATTCCTTCCTCAGTCCCTGAAGAACTTCCTGGTACTTAGTTCAGCTACTTCAGCTTGGTGTGGAGGAAGTAAAGGGCCAAAGACAGGTGAATACTAACTTCCACTTAATGTATACATTATCTTTTATCCTGAAGGAACCTAAGTGCTTCACAAACAAAATGGTATATAATAATATTAATTATACACAGGGATAATTTAATCTACCACAGAAATTCAGCTAGCTCTGGAGGGAAACGCAACCGCGCCATAGGAGCACGTAGCAATACTACACAACAGTCTAGCATGAAGGCAGTGTGGGGAGGGCTGGAGAATACCATATCAGGTTTCAGGAAGTAGAATTAAATAACCCATATGAGAATCTGCTCACAACACCAGCATTAAACATCTCTTATGAAAACTGCCATAGAATCCTTACTGACCACAAGCCATTTGGATAATTACATGATGATTTTTTTTTTTTGGCAATAAGAAACAGCAGTTGCTGTGAGTTTTACACACAGAGACTGATCAATGACTTTGCTTGTGCTATAAGTTTTCTCTAGCAATAAAATATAAATTAATATACCACAGCTTTAGTATAAACAACTTTAAAAGAAATGCTTTAAAAATACATTAGTAAAAAGCCACTTTTACTTTTTAAGCAGCTATTATTGACTGTACCCTTTCTGACTCCACATTGTGTTATTAGTATTTTATAGTTAATGATTGTAGAGCTCTCTAACTAATCCTCAAAACAGTTCCAGGCAGTGGGTAGTAGTACTATCCACATTTTAAAGCTAGAAAAGCTAATCCAGGTAGGCTAGGACTTGCCAGCCGTCACAGACACAAGCAGAGTTGGGAATAAAACACAAGAGCGCTTAACTCTCAGTCCTATGTTTGGTCACTAGACCACACCCTTCACAAACTGATATTCTTAGTAATATTATGTTATGCTACAAAATGCCAAATGCTAAGGGAAACAACAAATAGCTGTGGGAATAGTGTTATTATATTACATACATGCCACTGTTATTTCTAGAGGAGTCTAAATCAAAACCCCAAATCTGAAAACCCCCACGGAGAAGTTCAGATCCCGACTTTTGTGGCTGGAGCCACTCTTTCTGTATTTCACATTCTATGTAACGGCTACAATTGTTCGTATGGCAAAATAAATTCTCACTTGAAACGCAGTTGTGGTAAAACACAGAAGTTCTTACCGTTTTCCAACAATGCTTAGACCTAGTCCTCTGCCTGTTTTCTTTTGTAGATCTACATAGAAAATCTCCAAATTCTCTTCATCTTTATAATGAGCTTCATCTCTATAAACAACCAGTTGCACCTTTTGAGGTGTCTGTCTCAAGGCTGTGATAGCTTCTTCATGACTAGCATTCCTCAAATCAATGCCATTAACCTGGAATAACCATCAAACTGTTATTTTTCCTAATTACAGTTTGTGACGTTGCACTCTATATGATTTTATAAATATATGCTAATGAGTGAATATAATGTAACTGGAATATGCTTCATGCAACAGGTCTTTTGTAAGGTATTATTACAGAGCTATAATCTACTGAATGTGATCATTCTATTTGTATAAATGTATCACTCTTGTATCTGAAACTAGAAATATGAAATATAACTCTGAGGGCCTATTGTAAATATGCAAAGTGTGGGCCATTAATGGTGGTTTGGAATCTTGATGGCTTCCATCAACCAGGACAACTGACTGTGGATGTCTCTGTTTGCAGGCAAGCCTTCCTGTAAGTCAGGCTGGGAGGAATGAAGTCTTGAAGTGACATGTGATCATGTCACCTGAACTGGAATCCATCTTTAACCTGGTGTCTTTCCATTGAGAAGGAGGGGGTGGGAACCCAGAGAGGGACAAAGGATTTCCACCTTACGCAAAAGATATATAAATGGGTGGAACAGAACAAAGGTGAGAGCCATTATGAAGAATCCCCTAGCTACCACCTGAGCTGGAACAAGAGCTGTACCAGGGGAAAGAATTGTGGCCAGGCCTGGAAGGAGTCCAGTCTGAGGAAAAAACTTGCTGAGGCATCTCTAAGGGTGAGAATATCTGTATTCAGTTTGATTAGACATAGATTTGTGTGTTTTATTTTATTTTGCTTGGTGACTTACTTTGTTCGGTCTGTTACTACTTGGAACCACTTAAATCCTACTTTCTGTATTTAATAAAATTACTTTTTACTTATTAATTAACTCAGAGTATGTGTTAATACCTGGGTGGGCAAACAGCTGTGCATATTTCTCTATCAGTGTTATAGAGGGCGAACAATTTAGTTTACCTTGTATAAGCATTATACAGGGTAAAACGGATTTATTTGGGTTTAGACCCCATTGGGAGTTGGGCATCTGAGTGTTAAAGACAGGAACACTTCTGTAAGTTGCTTTCAGTTAAGCCTGCAGCTGTTAGGGGACGTGGTTCAGACCTGGCTCTCGGTTTGCAGCAGGCTAGCGGGTCTGGCTCAAACCAGGCAGGGCACTGAAGTCCTAAGCTGACAGGGCAGGAAAGCAGGGGCAGAAGTAGTCTTGGCACATCAGTTGGCAGCTTCCAAGGGGGGTTCTGTGATCCAACCCGTCACACAGTTATTAATGAGCTTTACACCCCCACACTATCTGAGCCCCTCACAAACATTAATGTATTTATCCCTGTAACAGCACTGTGTGGCGGGGAAGTATTCTTACTCCATTTTACAGAGAGGGAAAGTGAGGCACAGAGCAAGAAATCGGCTTGCCCAGTCACACAGGAAATCTGTGGCAGAGGCAGGAACTGGACCCAGACTGCCTGGGTCCCAATCTAATGCCTTAACCACAATACCATCCACCTATCTACTGTATATTAGCCATTCTTATATTACCCTATGGTTTACCAATTTGACATGGTTGATTATTGACCTTGTGTATTTCAGTTATGACAACGCTGTTTTTAAAGTACTGCACAGCAAACCAGGGCATTCCTTTCTTGGAAAATATGGGTGCAATAACATCATAAAGAGTACTGTATAATAATTCCCAATGTTATCTAAAACCTTTTCAGTAGGTTCTAACTTGAGGCTTGATCCCGCAGTCCTTACGCAGGCAAAATTCCTATTGACTAAAACTGACTGCAAGATATGTGGTATTCAGTGATTCGGTATTTGCAGATATCTCCCCACTGCCTTTATCAACAGAGGTGAATAAAGAAGCCAGCTAGTGAAAAGCAAAGGAGAATCGAATCGACATTTTAGTTTGTCACCTCTCATCTTGAGTGGAGGTGACGGGTATAGGCCACTGTGGGAAAACTCACACTTGCAGATATCCATAGACAAAAACCCACCACCTACCATAACTTCAGACCAAAATTTTCAAACTTGAGAGTGCCGAGGCTCTACAACTTAGTGGCCTGAACTTCTGAGGTGCTGAGCACCATTTTCTGATGACCAATGCTGCTACAGTGCCAAGCTTTACACATTGCACTGTGAGCTTTCCTACGATGCCTTATACTGGGTCACCTCAACTTGAAGTGAGATGCACTTTTTATGGTAACTCTGTCCTGGCCTCTCCTGATCAGAAAGCTGTCAACTGGTGGCTTTGTAGTGTTCACTCTTGTCTACTGAACAATGGGGAGAAACGACCAAACTCAATTCATTTACATTCATAAAGCTACTTCCGCTCCCAGTATCAGAGGTGAAAGTGTTATCTTTCTCCTCTGCACATTATACATTTCTGTTGCTTTTTCTTTGATGGTATGAATGCTTAGATTCCCCCTCCCCCCAATATCACAATGCTGAAGAACAGAAAAAAAAAGGAAAAAATTAAGTGCTGGCTGGAAACCAGATCTTCTCATCTGTGGTAAGAGAGCATTATTTTCTCTAATTCTCATTAGTAGATTCACTATCTTCAAATGTAAACTTACAGAAAAGTTAGGAAGTGACAATATTTTAGATTTAAAGAGGTAGCTATTAGATGATTATTGTGCTTTGTTCCAATAGATGGCACACAAGACCACTACAGAAGCTCTCAGTTAAGCTTCTCAACCTAATCTGAAAGTATTATAGGTTAGTAAATTCAGATTGAGTTTGAATGGTGCAATGGGTCTGAGCAAATTTAGAAGTATTCAAAAAGTACTGAAACTTGGAATTCTGATTCCAGATCTAGCCAAACGTAGTATCTGTATCAATATCCTTTAAAGTAGGCTTTGCAGAATTCAATTTTTATTTTTGCATAATGTCAATCGATACCAATGTTTATTTTTAAACTTATTTTAAATTATCAATTTAAATTTTCACAGTTGTACAAAATTATGAGTTTTAAATCATCCCCCCCCCCCCCCCCCCCAATTTTTATCCATTTAAATTTTCACAGATGCAGGAAAATATGGGGGTGGGGGTGAGTGAGAGAGAGAAAATAATTATTTAATGACAGTAGATGCTGAGATTCAAAGTGTTAAAGCTTTATACATGTTAATACACAAATTGTCAACTTCACATGTCAAATTATACAAAGTAAAGATCCTTAAATCAAACTCTAATAAATTCTCAAGCAGCATTTTTGTTACTTTGCCCATCTGTAAATTTCGATTACCATCAATGGAAATATTCTTTCCTTGGTTTGTGTGTGTATGGTGAAATTGACATTTACAGATAAAAATCTAATCCTTCAAGCTTACTTTAAGCCATCTTCAGATTATCTGTTCTGTGCATTCATTTATTTGTCATATATTAAAAAAATTCTAGTGTGTCAAAATTTAAAAGTTTAATAGGGAAGATGAAACAGTAATTGTAGAATGTAATACTGACACAAATACAATAGTGTATATTTTTATAAATTACTATGCAGGGAAAAGGTCAGTTCTTTGTACTCTTAATCATACCATAGTCATATATTAATAATAAAATACACTAAGTTCATTAATTCTAAATAGGATGCATACATTTATGAATATGCTATACATCCCTATATTTTTCTTTACACATATATGTCTACACATGTTGTACATTTGCCTCATTAGGGCAGTTTTAAAGGTTACAATTCATACAAACATTATGGCATACACACATTTGCACCTTCTTGCATGGTCAGTGAAGAATTTATTAACCTTCTCCATTTTTATCACATGGTTAATAATCATATGTTGTTCAGACACAGTTGTTTATAAAACGAAAATAAATATAGCCTTAACATTAACAAAATATTTTCTGTGCAAGAGTTGTAAAAACAACTCCCCAAGTGCCCCTCACTATTTTTCTAACCCCATGCACTACAGCAAAATGGGTGTGCTGGGAATTTGTCCTGATCTGACAGCGAGACACTAAAAACAGCTGTACTAGAACCACCAGAGCCTGTCTCAAGTCTAATTTGCAGTCAACAACATCCCTCTCTTAACCCTCTCCTCTCTAGATTTCCATATATTTGAATTTCCAATTGTCTCTAACAATTATGGTGCCAGTCTTTTTGTTACATTAAGGTACAAATAAAATTGTTCTGGTGACCATGTGCATATAGAACTAGTCAATCAAATTACTCTAATTATATAAGCAAAATACAAGCCTAAAGGTTTTACACCACAGACTAAGCTCCATAGATCAGCCTGCATGAATAGTTTGGAATGACTCTGCAGTCACCCACTTATTTGCACAATATCCTGCAAAGCTCAGCTTTTATGCCCATGTATAGTTACAGACAAGCAGTTAGACAATACATTAAAAAATAAACCATAAACACTCTTTTTCTCAGTATAATGCTTTAAAAGGCTCTGGGGTCCAGATAAAATATCAAGCTTATAAAAAGGGTAGTAAAAACGGTACACCTTTATAATTATGTTGATTATTGATGAAACATACACACTTACAATTATTAATCTGTTGAAGATGTTGTACTAATGCTGACCAGAATTGCAATGACATGCTCTACATATATATTGCAGAACATAAAAGCATAACAAAGGTACTAAAGGTTACACTATAAAGCAGGCTTCTAAATAAAAGATTAAACAGATGGATGATTCTTAACTATTGTACATTTGTACATGACATTGATGTAATTCAAAACCTATCTTGTCTGATAAAATGTAATCTATTCTCAAACTGTAATTGGTAATTTATAGCAGTTTGTGAAATATTTCCTGGGATTTTCTTATTGGTTAAAAAAAAAAAAAAGCTTCATGAACATAGTGTAACTGGTGTCTTCATTACAAGTATCAGAATCTACTAAATGGTTAGAGTGGTCCTCTGAAGAAAGCAATTTTGGATTAAATACAAAGCTATTTAAATAGGCTTCATAATTAATTTACCTCAAGAATCTGATCACCAGCCCAGAGTCGACCATCTCTAGCTGCTGCCCCTTCTTCATAAACTTCATGGATAACTATAGCATCCTGTAGAAACAAAATTTTCTGCATTAATTCTCATCCATTGCAAAAGTTTCTTAAAATTGATAGTTACTCATCCACATCACGCAGCAGATAATTGAGTACCACCATATTCAAAAGACACAGCATTCCATGATTTAGTTGATGTGAAGACAAGTAAGGCTGTGCTACAGATTATAAGAAAATTATTACACCCATTCATCTGCTATCATCTACATTTTGGTTAAAAATATTTTGCTCACCACTTCAGAGTAGTACTTCTTACTAGGTTTCTATCATTTTTATACATTGGCATCAGCAATATATGAACTCTACCTGAACTGGTGCATTAATATCATTTACTTTTTATGACAAATTTAAAACCAGACTTTTCAGAGTTATGAGTATTTTTAAGGGTTTGGCATAGATGCTCAACATTAGGCAGGAACTTGATGCCTTGTGGTGAATAGGGTGGTTAGATCTGCAAGAAATGAAATCCAGAAGAAATGAACAATGGTAAATACTGGTTTATTACTGAGGTTGGAAACTGTTGGCAGTGGCAGATGTAGTTCAGGGAAGGTTTCAGTGATACACTCTTATTGCCAGCAGTAGATGTCCCCACAGAAAAAGCATTACAAAGAGCATTTTCTTATTTTGCTAGTGCTTTCTTTTTGCATCATTTCCCTTCACCCCCAATACCCCACTGCAGTATTTCTTAGGCCACAGTTCTGACAACTGGCCTCATCATCAAAAAAGATGTGCCATTTTATAGTGTATATCTAAAACTTTTCTTCTTTTCTTGTCCTCTCCAAACACTGAAACACAAAGAATCATTGGCTGCAACAATGCAGCCGATAATCATGTGTAGTGATCTCAGGTCTGAGGGTATCAGATACCCATCTCTTGAGTAGATGAGGCCTACAAACATGTTATAGTTTCAGAGTCCCTTTAACAGCCCAATATATTATGAACAAACAGTCTTTCTCCAGGCTTTGTAGCACAAGGCTGTAAGGTAGCAAAGTGCAGACCCTGCTTTGGAGTCCCTTCCTGACTGCATATAAGTAGGAAACAGCTGCTGCTGGTAGCATATAAAGTGTGTTCATGTTTTTAAAAACATTTTTAGATGCTGCATATATACATCACTCATCGCAAGGTTACATGAGAAGAGAAAAGTATCTTTGTGTGATACTTTATTGGCGCACGTGGTGTAACCTGAACAAAGGGGGGGGGGGGGGAAATCAAATGTCCAAAGGCTAATCCTGTGATAAAGAAAATGTCCAGAAGCTTCCTCCATTTTAGTCCCACTACTGCTTGTTTTAATGATGTAGACTTGTATTTACAACTACTCTGCTCTTATTGAAGCACAGCATCATTATTGAACTCTGTTCTCTGATAAATATACACCATTTATCCAGAGCAAAACTGGCGAGGCGGGGGGGAGGGGGCAGTTATCACAAATGGATTACAGCTGATATAAATATCCCTGATGCAAAAAAAAAAAAAAATGAAATATCATGTTAAAGTGCTGGTGCTGGGGCTTTTCATCTTGCTGAAGCTCCTGGGGTGATGCTGACAAACATATTCTAATCTGAAGTTGGTCATGGGTATCAGCAATGAGTTTTGATTAACATCAGATGCAAACTGGTGCATTGGGGCAGTAGAACCAAGAAAAGGTATGCAAGATTTGAGAAGAGTACAGTCCTTCACATTTCTATCAGTTCTACTTGAAATACCAGACTCAGCACATGGCACATGTGAGGGAGAGTCAGCAGAGACTTGTGAGTCTGCAGTACACAGCAACAGGTTCACTTTTAGAGCTGGCTGGGAATTTTTCATGGAACTTTAAAAAAAAAAAAAAAAAAAAAAAATCCAGAAAATGAACCGAAACTATTTGCAGGGAAGGTTAGTTGAGATGTTCAGATTAATCATTTTTAAAAGGTCAAAATCAAACGATTGACCTGATCTGAAGATGATGATGTTACTGCTGCTGCTATTTTGAGATGTTTATTTCATGAAAAATTTCAAGATTTTGATTTTTTTTTTTTTTTTTGGTCCTGAGTTAGGACAGAGAATTTTTTCAAAATACCAAAATTCTCATGGGATGGGAAAACTGTTTCCCACCCAACTCTACTCAGACACAGAGGAGCAAATACTAGGGAGGTGTACAGCAGATACACAGCACAAGATATGCAGTATGGGCAGGGAGTTGAAACTCAGAGTTCTGAATACAATTTTTCCTGTTACCATGCAATAGCACAGTACGAGCACTCACAATCCTAATCAGGATTAGGCCTCAGTGCCCTGGGCATTGTACAAATACATGGATAAACACACTTCGTATCTGGAGAGCTGATGTAAGGATTGGAGATAAACCTGTATAAAACACTTCCATTATCACGATTTTAAATAAATACTTCATTAGAAACTTTGAATACTCAGTTTCTTTACAGGTTATTCCACAGTGCCTGTAGTGTGAAGTACTTTCTAATTTGGATAATCCTTGTTATAGATGGATGGTAGTGTTACCTGTAGCTTAGTTTGCCTAACAATTTCCATTGTAAGACCCCGTATTTAATTCCTGTTATGTAGTTTTTGTGTGTGTGATCAATCTAATGGTAGCATTCACAGCTCCTTTTAAAACCAGCTAGCCCAGTCAGTTACCAACCTTCCCCAATATTATTTAGTACATACAAATCTCCAGATACTTAAAAACACTACTGATGTCACCCTCTTTCTTGAAGGCTTAGATTCAGGAAATGTCAAAAACTATTAGCCTGAATCACTTACATTCATTATTTGAGAAAGCAGTTGGTTCCCCATTAAACTGGTGTCCTTGCACATGTTAGAAATTTAAGTGGGCTATATAGTCACAATTTATATACTGTAATAAAAAGAAAACTGTTCTCATTGCTACACTTATTCTGATAAAGAACATTTCTAGATTTAAAAAATGCATTTGACCTGCCAAAGTCTTATTTTTCTTACATAGTCTTAGCCAGATGATTTTAATCAGACTTGTCAAGTAGATGCAAACAACTTGAACCAATGGATGCTGATTGCACAGTCAAGATTTTAAAACAGCACTAAGAAAGAAAGTAAGAGACTGATCTTAACTTACAGTTCTAAACAAACAGTAATCCTTCCTCCTATATTTTCTGGGCTTGGTCCAAAGTATATTGAACTCTATCGTAGTCTTCCATCGTCTTCAATGGACTTTGGATCAGGCCTTATATGCATAGGGTATTATATTATACTGTTTTGAACATACATGTACAATTATCAAAAAACATTTAAGTTACAGTTAGGGATTCTTAGTGGCACTATTATAGTTAATATTTAAAAAGCTGCTTACATATTATATGCATGCTATATAGGTGTCTTATGTCCTGTCTTGGTCTTGTGCACTATCCTAGTCTAGCCATCCAACAACTGAATAGCAATCTGTAATGATTCCATCAATGTACAAAGATATCATGGTTATCTTGGGGGTCCCAAGGACAGAAGCCATGATCTATGGATACCAAAACAAAAACCACATCTACTGAAGGAGAACATCTACCAAAGGAGAATGTCAACTTGCTTTTAGTCAGAGCTTTAAACTTCTGAGGGCCGGCCATCCGAAGGCAGTATACTGCAGCAATGCATTTATTTTCTGATTGTGCTCTCTTATATTTATAAAGGAACATATGTGACTATACACATATATTTTTGGTCTGCACTATTTTCTTCAAAACAATCTGCATTTTACTAGAATCACACTGTACGGGAAACATGTCACCCTATGTGTGAACAAAAATACTGAAGAAGAGCTCTGTGTAGCTCAAAAGTTTGTCTCTTTCACCAATAGAAGTCGGTCCAATAAAAGGTATTACCTCATCCCTCTCATATCAACACGGAACCAACACGGCTACAACAACACTGCAAACAACGAAAATACTATATATTTAGAGCCTGATTTTCAGAACTAGTAAGCATCTGCAGCTCCTATTGGCATTATGGGTAAGCTCAGCACTTTAAAAAAATTGAAAAGTTAAAAAAAAAAAAAAAGAAGCTCAAAAATATATCAGGTAAAAGGTTCTTTAAAGTAAGATATTTATTTGCTACAAAATACAGGCTGCTTTATTTATTTATTTATTTTGGCAAAAAAGTGCCAGAAACGACACATTTTAATCATTGTGTATTTTGACAATGCATGCTCCATTAATCTCGGAACACTATACAAATCAGGAAGTGAAATACTATTTAATAGCTCTCATGTGTGTTTGAAAGGTCCAGTGTACATGCCAGGATATGCAAACAGCAGTGCTCCATGTTAAACAGGAAATTTTCAGACTTCTGCAATTTTAAACATCCATATTTATGGAACCAGGAGTAAAAGGTGATGGGAATATCTTGAAGCCAAAGGGAAACTACAGCAAGAGAACGGTTACTTACTTTACAGTAATTGTGGTTCTTCAAGATGTGTTGTTCATAGATTCGACCCTTAGTCCGCATGTGCACCATGTGCACAAGATCAGATTCTCTTTGGCCAATGGTGTCTATTGGGACTGCACCAGTGCCCTTGGTGCCCTCAGGCCCACTCTACCTGAGGGCATAAAGGGTCAACAGGCCCAATCACCCCTCAGTTCTTTCTTCAGTGCAGAATCTCGTAGGAATAGACTCCATAGTGGTGGGGGGAAGGGTTATGGAGTCTGTCCTCGAAGAACCACAGTTATTGTAGGTAAGTTACCTTTCCATCTTCTTTCAGTGATTGGCCGCACAGATTCCACTCTCGATGACTAACAAGCAGCTATTTGCTTGAACATGAGTAAGAGGAAGTCCTACTTGAATAGTGACTGCAGGACAGCCCTCCCAAAATTGGCATCTGATCTGGAAACCTATATGAGGGAACAGTGAATGGTAAATGTGTGGCTCAAGCTCCACATAGCTGCTCTACATATCTCAGGTAGAGGAATATTCCCCAAACAGGAGGCTGCCTGAGCTCTAATGCACTGAGCTCTAACATGGCTTGGGGGAATCTTTTCTGG